ATCTTTATCTCTGGACGTCATTTTATTTCTCCCCGCCAGGTATCAGTGCCCAGCAGGCTGTCTGAACAACAAGGCAAAGATTTTCGGGACCCTGTTTTATGAAAGTGTAAGTGTGGCTGGTTACTTCTTTAAATGGCTCGTGTAGAATCCTGTCGTGTCGCTTTTAAAGGAAGTTGGCGGTTTTCCAGGAAAAGATTTTCTTTCCCAAATCAGACCTGCTGTTTCCAGAACGGATCTGGCTGTACGTTCACGGGCTCACCGACTTGTGAAGTCACTTTTAGGAACTGGACTGATCCTCACGGACGCCAGTCTCCCTCTTAGTTGGGGTGTTAATATGATCAACCGAATGGGGAGAAAGGGCTGTTTGTCACTGTTCTTACTTTGTAAAGCCACTTGGAAGAATATTTTTAGATAAGCGACCCTAGGAACAAAGACATGGTTATAGAGAGAGGTTAGCCTCAGAAGTTGGGGAATCCTGGCCTGTCTTTTTGGCTGATAGCAGGTTGAGGACAGCCACGTGGGTATTTCTGACAAAGATGAACCCAGAATGGAAGTGTGGTCACCCTCTCCTCCCACAGGCCTCCAGCATATGCCGGGCCGCCATCCACTACGGGATCCTTGATGACCAAGGGGGCCTGGTGGACATCACCAGAAACGGGAAGGTCCCCTTCTTTGTGAAATCTAACAGAAACGGCATTGAGTCTTCCAGGTAACTGTTCTGTGATCAGGGTTCCTGAAAACATTTTCCCCTGGTGATGAAAGTAGCGTTGAAACTTGGAAATCACCCCTACCAGCAATTTAGCCTCCTTCATTCCAGTGGGGTTATTCCGGGTATGAGCGTAACTTGGCTGCATTTCATAGCCAACTTTTTCTTTTTTTTTGAGACAGAGCCTCAAGCTGTCACCCTGGGTAGAGTGCCGTGGCATTACAGCTCACAGCAACCTCAAACTCTTGGGCTTAAGCAATTATTTTGCCTCGGCCTCCCAAGTAGCTGAGACTACAGGTGCCTGCCACAGTACCTGGCTGGGTTTTTTTGTTGTAGTTGTCATTGGTTAGCAGGCCCAGGCCAGGTTCAAATCCACCAGCCCCGATGTATGTGGCCGGCACCCTAGCCGCTGAGTTACAGGTGCCGAGCCAGGTTTCAGAGTCTTTTGGAGTGTATCTGTCTTCTGTGAATTGCTACCCATTCATATACCTTTAACATGACTCTTAGGCACATGAAAATAGCCTTTTAGACTACACGAGGCTCTCTGCACCTGTGGGTTCAACCACCACTGTTCAGAAATATTAAAAAAACATACAATTGCATTATAGCAATTTAAAAAACACAAATTTAAAAGCAATAAAGTGTAACAACTATATACCATTTACATTGTATTAGGCATTATAGGTAATGCAAGACGATTTGAAGTATAAGGGAGGTTGTGCATCAGTTCTCTGTAAATACTGTGTTATATTTTATGCACACCTGTCAACCTAGCACAAATTTTGGTCTGCTGGAGTCCTGGAACCAGTTCTCTGAGGACATCATGAGACGATTACATTGTGCTCATGTGAATATGGAGAGGGGACTTGATTCATCTTCCTATGAAATCTGGCATCAGTTTAGCTAAAGCT